CGCGGCAGCGCGTTGGGGCTTGGCTGAGCCAGCTCCCTGCGAAATGTCCTCCTCCCGGAGTCTTCCCCACGTCGCCCAGCCCCGACCACCGCCCAGCTCTGCCCTCCCGCCGTTCCCTGCCTTTCCTCCTTCCTCGTGCATGGGGGATGCGGGGTGAGGGGGGGTCCCGGGCTGGGGTCCCTCACCAGGCTGCAGCTTGTCCCCCGCAGGCGGCCTGGCTGGGCATCAACATCTTCCTCTTCACCTACTACTTTCTGTTCTTCGACCTGGACGAGCGGTATTTCTACACCAGGGCCATCCTCGGGGTAAGGTGCTCCCATCACCGGGCACGCGGTGCCCCTCGGAGCCCTCCTGCAGCGGGGTGGGGGCTGCCGCACCTCGCGCCCCTTCCTTGGCGTGCCACGTTCCAGCCCGCCATCGCTCCGTCCCGGTCCCCAGCCCAGCATCGCTCCGTGCTGGTCCCTGTCTGGGTCCCTGTCCTGTCCCAGCCCAGCACCACCCCCTCCCAGCCCAGCATCATCCCCTTCTTTCCTGGCTCAGCATCACTCGTCCTAGTCCCCAGCCCAGCATTGGTCCCTCCCAGTCCCCAGCCCAGCATCAACCCCTCCTTTCCTGGCTCAGCATCTCTCCCTCCCAGTCCCCAGCCCAGAATCACTCCTTCCCAGCCCAGCATCATTCCCTCCTTTCCTCGCTCAGCATCACCCGTCCCAGTCCCCAGCCCAGCATCACTCCCTCCCCATCCCCAGCCCAGCATCCCACAGTCCCAGCCCCAGCGCAGCATCGATCCGTCCCAGCTCGGCGTCACTCGTCCCAGTCCCAGCCCAGCGCCGTGCTGGGCAGAGCCATGGGGACAGCCTGGCTGCAGGCAGATGTACCCGGCCGTGGCACGGGACGTCGGCGCTCAGCCCCCGCTCTCTCCCCAGTCCGCCTTGGCGTGGGCCCGGGCATCGGCCAAGTGCCTCAACTTCAACAGCATGCTGATCCTGCTGCCCGTCTGCCGCAACCTC